TCAGTGTATTGTTATATTGATGCTATCAAACTGTAATCCATTTATGCTATTATTATTGATTCAATGTTATTTAAGCAACATTAATGTAGTTAATAACACTAATTAATTCACTATAATGTATATATAACTGTGGAGCCTGATGATGAAGTTATCGAAAAGAATATTCTTTTTTCAGTAACCATTCTTTTGAAAAAATTTCAATGGGCATCTTTAATCCGATTATATCGTTTTATTTCGTTAGTTTCTTGTTGACCGCATACAACCTGTTAAACTATAAGTACATATCTTCAGAACAGCATCCCTTTTGGTGAGATTAAAGGTTGACAGGTTTCATTTTTATTTTAACTCATATTATAGGCAGAAGTTAACATTTATCTGAGATAGCATTTACTTATAGAGAACAGGAAAAAGGGCATGCTTACTAATAAATAGTATAAACAGTGCCATCGCCAGACATCCTGCTGGTACAGATTATGTATGAAGTAGACACTTTGAGATCTATTAAAATCAACAAAAGAACTCAGTTATTTTTAAATGTGCTGAGGCGACTCCTATCCGTGGTTTAAAATCGGATTTGTGTGTTCAGAAAGACACACCTACTGGTTTATCTTTAATGCTGGCAAGGCTATCCCTTAACACCTCCTTTGGTTTGACTACTTAAATTTTCGATTCAACCCTTTTGGTTCTATTTGTGTCTGTTTCGATTGTCTAAATAAAGCTCTCAGAGTCGGTGGCACAGCGGTTAGGTCTCTCACCGACCTGCCGGCGTACACCTGGTATCATTGGTTGGCCTGCAAATTTGGGCTACCAATATCGCATGCTGAAAATTCCATACTTGTACCAATGATAGCGTGTTGAATCAAGTTATAATCAAAAAAAAGGTTTATTATACAACCCACTGCTTACTTATCGTCAATTTATCCATTTTCTGTTTTTATTACACAACAGCTTTTACAAAATGTCTTAGTCTTTCTAATTAACTTGAACTTTATATGAGATATATAAGTATAACTTCTGAGCACCTTTTGTTTATTATTTCAATCCTAAAGCTTACAATGTTGTGTAATTCTGTTTATTTTGACTTTACAGAAAAAATAATGAACACTGGGAATAATTTACATTAATCCTAGTGACTATACCTTATACTCAGTTGAACACATTAAAAACATAAAAGCAATTTGAATAACTCAGTGAGGACAGCTTTTGCCCAATAAGATGAATTTATTTTGATTGCACATTTTTCCATTATGGGTAAATTTTGTTTTGATAAAGTCTCACAGTGTTATACAGTAATGTTTACTGATGACGTTTCGAGCACAATTTATTGCTCATAATCATATCAAGGTAATCACACGACTTCCTAAATTCATTTATATAGTTCCATTGTTTTTCTCTTGATTTTCACTTGATTTGATTGGTAATAGTATTTTCCATATTTCAGGTATGAGTGACGAGTCATTCCTATTGCATGTGTTGGGTGTAGACTCGATGAACAAGGATTCAGTAATCAACCTCTCTCTCCACCTACCTAGATTACTTTTTAGAATTTTAACCCTCTCCCACCCTATTGTGTGGTTGTGTGTTAGCGCATGCATTGCAATTGCTGAGCTTTTTTCTAAATTACTTATCTTCTCGGGGTCAACCATTCTTACCTTAGCTAAATTTTTATGCTCTGACAATCTGACTACCCCTGACCTACTAGTTTGACCTATGTAGTTGACCTCACAGTCATTGCATGGTATTTTGTAAATAATATTATTTTGTCTAATTGGGTCAACTGGGTCCTTTAACCTACAGAGCTTGTCCCTGAGTGAGTTTGTAGGTTTAAATGCCACCCTAATTCCTATTTTATTCAGAATCCTACGTAGTGTCTCAGATGTCCCCTCTTTATATGGTATAACTGTGGATGACTTATATTCTTTCTTATTTATGTTATTATTACTAGTTTCACAATTATTTTTATTTTGTTTTTGGCCTTTAATGATCTTCCTAATGAATTTTATAGGATAGTTATTCAACACCAACGCTTCTTCTATCTGTTTTAATTCATCATTTAGATCTTTTTTTGTGCTACTTAGTGCCACTGCTCGGTTTGTTAAACATTTAACTAAGCCTGCCTTAACAGTTAAAGGATGAGACGAATTAAAGTCTAAATATCTATTAGAATGCGTTGGTTTTCTATAAACACTAGTGTGTAGTTTGCCTTCTTCTATTCTTTTTATCTTACAATCTAACATAGCTAATTCTCCTTGTTCATTTTCTGATTCAAATGTGAATTTTATTCCCTCAACTTGTGAGTTTATATGTGTCAAGAAGCTAGAGATGTGTTCTGTTTTTAACACTGTGAAAGTGTCATCCACATATCTCCACCATATTTTCGGAGTAGGGTTAAATGTATTGAGGGCACTATTTTCCCAGCTGTCCATAAATATGTCTGCTACGATAGGGGATATTGGTGATCCCATTGCTACACCTTCTGTTTGTCTATATATTTTGCCTTGGAACTTAAAGATAGTAGATGTGAGGCATAACTGAATCCCTAAAATAATTTCTTCAATGGACAGCTTTGTCCTATGACTGAGTTCCGGATCCGCAGTTAATTCTTTTTTAACTGCTTCTAAGGCCATATTAACTGGTATATTAGTATAAAGACTAGTTATATCAAAACTAACCATTGTTTCATCATTCGCTAGTTGAATGTCATTTATTTTATTTTTCATCTCATATGAATTAGTTAATCTAGAGTTTGAACGATTTCTAATGGGGCATAGTATTAGAGCTAAGTGTAAATCAAGAGAAAAACAATGGAACTATGTAAATGAATTTAGGAAGTCATGTGATTACCTTGATATGATTATGAGTGGCAATAAATTGTGCTCGAAACGTCATCAGTAAACATTACTGTATAACACTGTGAGACATTATAGAAACAAAATTTACCCATAATGGAATTACACTCTACCACAGTGCACAAGTTTTATTCTTATATCAATGCACATTTTTCGTCAAGATTTTTCATCAACTACATACAAATATGACCCGTTGTACACAATGTTTTAAAGCGAAGGAAGAAATTCGAGTTCTTTCAAGAGGAAATGTTTATCTTAGTATAGAGACTAATTTTTATTCCTTTTTTATTTCTCTGCGTTCCCAAGGAAACATAGGGCTAGAGCTCCGAGGTTTCAGAAACAATGGCGTCTTTTTATAGGATGGAGTTGTTAGTCTCATGCCCAACCTTCCCTCTTTACCGGGATTACTATCAGCCAAGCTAGGTAGAGGACTGAGCCTGCTAGGAATCGAACCTCGGACCACTTGCGTGGTTGGCCAGTGTTCTGCTATTGAACCATCGGCGCAATTGGCATATAGACTGCCAATCTTAAATTTTCCAATTTTTTTTTACTTCAACCAACCATTTATTTGTCACTTTTACACACATTTAAAAAAACGGTATTCTAGCGACTACCCTATCCTATATGAATATCTATTTAGATTTTATTTTTCAGGTGAGGAACTTGCTGGAATTTATTAATATAATTAGCTTAAGGTCTAATAACCCTAGTATAGATGTCACAAATCATCCTAGATCACCGGTAATGGGTGTGTTCAAAGTAGAAGAGAAAACAGTTATAAAGGACATGGACTTTATATCAACCTGGTATAGAAACTGCTTCATACTAGAACCACCACACGAAAGTTCAAAGTTCAATATTTCTTGGATCTACAATGCACAGTGAAGCTCAAATATTCGCTTTAGAACTATAGAATTCTGTTATCCTTAAAGAGGAAAGAAAAGAGTGAGATAAATGTTAGACTTTTAAGAGGTGCTATTTGAATAACCAAAATGCAAAGTATTTTTGATCAGGTTTAGGAGTAGATGTAAGAGAATTCGGAGTAGCAGAGCTATGCAAATATCTGTCACCATAGTTTTTGGTAGTGTTCCTCGTAAGAATCTTATAGATTTTTTACCATCAAAGATAAGTGGACACTTAGATTTCTTATTGTGAACTACAGATTAGTTTAAATGCCTAACAGCTACTGAAATTCACTCAGTAGTATGGAATGTAGATCATTCTGATGAAACAGAATATACTAATAAAAAAAAGAGTTAACTCCCCTCCTGCAAATTAATTATTTATTCCTTGTACTTGGAGTGGAGCACGGGGTTAAAAGATTTGAACTAGCGATTGTATCGTTTTCCCGGCGTGGTGTAATTAGCCTCATGCTCAATTTCTCTACTTTCCCAAGTTTACTGCCAACTAGATGGGGTTTAGAAATGTATCAACCTGGAATCAAACCTGAACCTCCAGTGTGGCTGGTGAGCATTTTACACATGAACAACCAAGGAGTACTGAGCAACTGTCTTGTCCTACTCTGGGATCTATGACGCTAAAAGAGTTTGAACCCAGGACCTTTAGAGATTACAAATTGAGACCCTTCATCATCCATCCAATCGGACAAGTGCTATCCAAAAGGCTGCAACAATCCTGGCAGATAATACGGTTTTCTGGAAATAGAAAGGTTAAGTGATGAAGATTACTGGTCAGTAAGACCTGCGTGAATTCCACTCAGGCCCTTCATATGAAAATAAAAGATAACTGATTGAATCTCAATAGGGGATGGGGACTTGCTAATGAATATGACACATTCTTTGGTTGTTCTTAACAGAATTGATTCAATCTAATGTAAAATACACTTGAAAAACACCTTTCAGACATTTGTAGAATAAAATATTTTTTTCCGTATGAGTTGACTACAGTACAATAATAATAGATCATCAAAAATAAATAACTAATTATGCACAACACATGTTAGTGCATCTACTCTTATTGTTGTCAAATGTGTATTGTGCATCCTTATTGGATAACAGATAAGTTACACAATTATACATGATATGGTGATACACATTATCAATGTGTACACAGAACATATCTTCACTTACACACCATATAAGTGTGGTGTGTATGGTTCATTGTGCCACCTCTAACTGTCTACATGTTTGTCTGTCAAAGCATAAAATCAATTGAATGCCTTCATATGTATAAATTCATATGATATGATAGATAGACATGAGATAGATACTACTGTTTTGATGCATACGTATTATTCAATTATATCAAACTGTTGAATTATGATGGGCACTTTTATTATTGTTACGGTTATTATTCTCTACTTATATGCAATTGTTTTTATGATTTTATTAAGTAGACTATAAATTATCGTCATTATCACTATCATCATCATCAAAATTATTGTACTTTGTATTTTTGTAAAAAATAATGATGACAATAACAATAATGTTTCTTTATTTAATGAAATTATACTATTGAAAATAGTAGTAATCGAAAAAAACAAATCTATTTTTTTGCAATTCAGTACACATAATGAAACTTATTGTGGAGATTATTGTAATTCTGTTATTCACTTTACAATATGGTAAGCCAAATTAAATAATAGTAATAATAATAATAACTTTATAAATTTGTTATAATCATTGTTGGTAATAGTGATAGAAATGGCGTTGATTGTTAATAAATACTACTTTTGTGTATTTATGTATTGGATATGATCGGTTAATGTTTGTAATAATACTACACAATCCTGGTTGATGTGATTTTAACGTTCTAATGATCCATAGACAATCCACCATTCGTGTGCGCGCACAGACACACACACACACAAACATAAAAACAGTCTATGTTACTTAACTTGTTAACTTGTAGTTGAAACAGTTGACGTCTCATGGTCCACTGGTGTAGTTGGTTTGAAACGATAAGCAATGAGTTTGAGCAACGCTAGTAACAACATCTCTCACTTGGGATTCAGGTAATACTGAAGAGGAGAATTCTCAGAATAGGACGGTACATGTATCCCAGATTCCACAGATAATCATCACCACCAATCAAGTAATATCATGTTTATCTCAATGCATTGTTCGAAGCCTCCATGGTAATAACAGACTTGTCAGAAGTAGTCCCGAATTTGAGTCCAGTATAAATCACTCAAAGGCGAGATTCAAATAAATTCAACAAGTAACGTCTATGTAGCTGTTAGGTTATTTCCTTGGGCTCCGAGTGGAACATAGGTCTTCAACAACCCATCTCAACTTTCTTCTATTTTCTGCCATACTCTTCAGTTGAGTCTACGATTACCCATAATCTCTCATCTCTGCCTCACACAATCTCCTCCATGTTACCCTCACACTGACGACTCACTCGTCGTTTCCCATTTGGATTCCAGTCGGGGTTTCTAGTACTGATAAAAAAAATGACAAATAGAAAATGTTCGTCACAACTTTCATTGCAGATAGAAGCATTACACTTTACGATTACTTAAAGGTGTTACGAATGCGTGTAATTTCATGTAATCAAAAACACATGAGTCAGCAAAGAAATCTCTTTCCGCAACTTTACTTCAAAGCTGTACAGTTACTTAGAGCGTTGATGTTTTCCATATAGATTGACAATAGAGGTCAAAAGTTATTATCAGTTATTATCATTTTGTATTATTTCCTTTAATTTCTAGAGGAACATAGGGATTCAACTGCGCGTCTCCATTGTGTTCGTTTCTCTGCTAGAGTTTTCACCCGGCTCCAAGTCTGTCCATATGCTTTCATCTCCTCTTCACATGACCTCCTCAAAGTCACACTTGCACTGACGACCAACTCGCCGCTTCCCTTTCGGCCTGGTTTCACTCGAGCAATGGCTTGTCTAGTGATGTCACTTGATGGCTCGTTTCCTCAGAGTATGCCCAGACAATCCATCTTCATTTATTCCTGCCTATTTGTTGTACAATCGGTTCCTGCTGGGTTGGTTTTTTCCCAGAGATCCCTCTCTGTTGCTGATCTTTTCTGTCCATCTGATCTTGAGTTGTATTGAGCGAAGGCAGCTGCTGATAAAGGTCTGTAGTTTGTATGAAATGCTCTTCATGACGCGCCAAGTCTCTGATGCGTATAGTAGCACTGACTTCACAGTTAGTTCCAAAGTAAATCAGAGTGTATGAGTAATAACCATGTTTGAAAAATCGAGAATAACCTTAGATAATCAAAAGAGTTGATAATTAATAAGTCAAGTGGTGACCAACTGCTTGGAAATACTTGACAAGAAATAAGACGACAGGGGATTGAAAATGAGTTTCGAAAAACATAAAACGAACTACACAGAGCTTATTATACAGTCATTCAGGAAAACAAAAAATAAGAAAAGCTTAGACAATTAGTACTTTAGCCATAGAGGTAAAAGAGGCTGAATAAAATGCTTCTGAACACCAGGTTCAGGTTTCGCCTTATGAACCACTAATGTCTTGGGTTGCATGAAGAAGATGTAGAAGAAATCGTTTCCAATGACTCGGTAGTATTTCATATATGACTCTGAAAGAAGTCTCTGATGGTGCTGTATGACCAGAAGTAATAATAGACTCTAGAATTGAGCTGTTAACTGTTTTACGTTCTCCTTTTGACAATCATGTTATTAAGGTTCATGGGCATGTCTAGACAATGCTCTGCTGGTGCTACCTATGTACTTAACTCCAAAGGAGCAAGTGAATTTGTAAATATACAAGGAATCTGCTAACAGCAGGATCTTGTCTTTGACGTTCTGGTGAAATTCATGGTTATTGTGTACTTTCAGACTTACTACAATTTAAGGGATATATTTCCAAATCTGTAATATACACACTGAATATTGCATATTAGCAAATGATTACTGATAATCAATGTAATGCTTCATAGTTTATTTTTTGGGTCGATAAATGGTCAGTAGTATATTAATGTAGGGCGAAATTAAATGCGAGTATTAATATATGTATAAAACATGGACACTGGTAATATGTAATCCCATTTTTTTCCATTCCTTTTGCATTCCTAGGGGAACATAGGCTTTAGGCTTGAGCTCTAAAATTTCAGTAGTAGTAGTAGTGTTTTTATAAGGGATGCGGTCGTTACCTTCCTCCCAAACCTTCCCTCTTTATCAAGCTGATGACCGGCTAAGTGAGGTTTAGGAGTGTGTCTGCCGGGAATCGAACCCAGACTATATGCTTGGTTGAAGAGCATTCAATAGGTGGACCACCGACGTATATGTGATTTCATACTACTTCGTTTATTATACAGATCATATAGTGAAACAGTATTATTTATTAGATGACATCTATTGTTCCTAATCATGTCATCTTTATCTCCGCAAATTTGTAGCATGTTTTTTATAGTTGTAACTCTTCTTTTCTATTTATCATTTGTTTGGTAGAACTTTTCAGATGTCTGGTCAAGTTTCGAATCATTTATGTTGCACTCATTCTCAATTAATCCCTTAAACAAAGCCGCAATTATAAGTCTCTTCACTTACCCTTTCATACAATACATCAGAACCATCACTTTATTTCATCTCATTGTATGACTATGCGTAACTGCGTGTAATGTTTAAGCTTATCTTTTTCTTAGATTCTCTATCTTACGTGGGTCTAACTGTCTAGATTTCACTGAGTCTTTGTGATTGGGTATCTAAGTGACCCTGACTTATCACTTTGATCTGTGTATTTGACCTCCAGTCATTGAAGAGTATTGTATAAACTAAGTTATTTTGACCGATAAAGTTTGTTTCTAAGTGGCGTCGTGTGTTTAAATATCACTTTTATTCCTTCTATGTTAGGCATCCTTCTTTGTATGGCAGTGCTATGAATTTTGGTGCTGTTATCCTTATTAAAAACACTTAACAATATAGTGGCATGACTTAGCCAGTAAGCTTGCATTCATTTTACATATCGTACCATCGACTATACTAGATGAAGGAAGTTTTAGGGTGGAGTTCTAAACATTTGTTGTGGATATTCACATGTTTATTTTAGTATATCGTTAAATAAGAGAAATTTGTATAAACCTTTAAAAAATGCCTACCCACCGTGAACTTATTCTCGGAAGTATAGAAATGTATGTAGATGCGTTGTCCTTGTAATTACATTTGACTTCCAAAAGTATCATAAATTTGTATTGTCTGCATGTGAATCATTTGTTTAGGCCATCACAATTCAATCCGTAGGTTGTGAGCTCTAAGCCGACACTATTCCTCGACATCTGCATAGTAGTGTTCTCAGACAAGAAATGTAACTCCTTGTCTGATATATAAAGTCGCATATGATTGCTGATGAGTAAAGAGGTACCATCTTTCTAATTTTATTTTGAATTGACAAATCACTTTTTCTTTATATAACTTGTTAACTGCAGCATTTAAATATATCAGAAAAGGAACTTAAAATGTGACTGAACTATAAGATGTTAGCCGTTCAAAACTGAAAAATGAGAGATATTAATAAAGCTTCTTTGAGTGATACAAACGTCGGTTATGACCTATGCTTATTTCTTGTGTGGATCATCATGGCTATAGTCCTGAGACAACTTATTTCAGAAGCAATTTGAACAAAAGGAATCTACACGATCAACGGTATTCAAGCAGATCATAGTTTTAGTTAGTGACGACAAACATCCTGTTAACAATGAAATTTTGTTTCTGTATCTTAAATTCAAAAGTATTTTAATCAATGGTGAGATCATCTGTGATCAGTTTGAATTAAAAGACTAGAGTGCAGGTAGTAGGTACACAATATAGTAGCAATAAAATACTATCTGAATTGACGCTGATCTAATTTACACTTTTGAAACTGTATGCGAAGTTTACTATGAATATTTATTGATCAATAACCAGTGAACACCGAATTCGACTACTTGAACTACTTTTCTTGTATTGACTGTTCAATAGTATTATTATTATTGCTCCCTTGGGTTCCTAGTGGAACATAGGGCTTCAACTGCACGTCTCCATTTTCTTCTGTCTTCTGCAATACTTTTCGCCTGCATCCATGTTAATCCATCTTCTTTCAACTCCTCTTCACACGATCTCCTCCATGTCACCCTTGGACGTCCCACACGCCGCTTCCCTTTCGGGTTCCACTCGAGCAATGGCCTGACGTGGGTGCGATGTCACCTAGCGGCGGTCTCCTCAGCGAGTGACCGATCCATCTCCACTTTCTCCTGCATATTAGTTGGTTGACGATTGGTTCTTGTTTTGTTTGTTCCCAGCCATATTTTCTTGATGGTGATTCTTTCCGGCCATCTGATCTTCAGTATTGAGCGAAGAAAGTTGTTAATAAGGGTCTGCAGCCTTTTGGAAATATACTTTGTGACCCGCCAAGTTTCTGATCCGTATAGAAGAACTGACTTTACGTTTGTATTGAAAATCCGAATTTTGTTGGTGATGCTGAGTGACGAAGATTTCCAGACTGATTTCAGGCTGATGAATGTGTTTCTCGCCTTCCCGATTCTCGATTTGACAATAGTATTACTCACTAAATTGACAGATTCTGCTCCACTTATCATGGAGTCAATGATTCATATAAATAGGATTCTCTTATAGTTAGCTTTTTCAGGATAAGTAGCCTTCATGTGTAGG